GACCAGATACTGGGATGTGCTTTTTTAGCAGGATTATGAGAGGATGTCAGTAGGCTTTTGTGAGCATCATCTAGGACTGACAAATTACTGACTGACCAGCTGTTGGCCTGAGCTTGGAACATCCGCAAGGAAAGAGAGCCAGTTGCAGGTTGGTAACAGGTATGAAGGTCCCATATGCTATAAATGTGGTGGTCCCAACCATTTTTCTAGGAAGTGACAGAGTCTAATTGGTAAGAGGAGCATGTATCAGTGATCACAGGAACCTTACAGTGTTATCGCTGTAATGAGCTGGGCCACATATTGTGCACTTTGGGAAACTTATCCAGAGTGGGGAAGGTATCATTGCTTGACCCTCCCTGTCAGACAATGAATGCAGCATTGCCTGTAGTTGGCATCCAGGTAGATGTATCACGCATGGCACATAACTGACTGAATTAGCCCTTAGCTAGAGGGAGAAAAGGTGGATTTATACCTTTCTCAATTGTATTTGTGCATAAATGAATATAACGAATCCAGCTGGAAATGGAAGTTGGCTCTCCGATTAAGAATTCCAAGCTGTTATCCACCTGCAAGCTTACGGCATCTAGTATTCCCAAGCAGTCACTCATCTAGGTACTGACCAGGCTTGATGTTGCTTACCTTCGGTAATCATATAGAAATCTAAATAATATGCATGACTTTAATTAATATTGGATCAAGAAGGAATTGTAATAGCAAATTTTTCTTTGTTTTTGGTGACTTAAAGGATGCTTTTTGAAACAACCTTCATCATTTAAACTGTATGATAAAGAAGATTTACTACTATAAATTCTTAGACCTACAGGAGGTATTCTAAATGTAATGTCTCCCATTTATTTCCATAAAAACTACAACAAATACAGGGAGCACAGTAACACTATTGGATAGAGCAAGTTTTCAGCTATAAAACTATTTTGTTAACATAGTCACTAACACCGGCTATGCCTTTTTTTCAGTGACGAACAAGATCTTTTCATGGTTTGACAGCTATACAGGGCTGCCCAGAATGTGACTTGTCACACTCATCACTGTCATCCCTGATTAAACACCACTGATCAACATATATATTCTGTAAGTGTCATTAGGATCAATTTTTTTCTCATGGAAGAATTCAATGATACACTTCTGCTTTTACACATGTTCATGTCAGATTTCATTTTACTAGTCTTCTACTCAGATGTTATCTGAAACAAAGCAAAAAAAAATAATTATGTGTTATTGGTAGGAAGGTTCATCCTCTACTGACATGCCACCAACACAATAAAATAGGAAGCATTTCTTTCAGAGCAACTGTCATATTATGGTACCACAGACTTTATTATTGCTATAATGAATAAGCCTAGGTAAACTATTTTTAAGTGATAATTACTGATTGAAGTAAAACTTACTGTCACCAATTATTGGTAACATTATTCAGATTGGTACCAGTGTTGTGATTTGATAGCCTTTATTTTCTTTCTGTTTTCTTCTACCATGATGCTGATCATAATGTTTTCTCTCTTATATGACTTATATATAAATAAGCATTTCTGAATCCATTCTGTTTCTCCATTTACAGCAACAATGGAACAGCATTTGTTCACTCATTTCCACTTTGTCCCTGACCACTATGTCTATGTTGGAATTTGAAAACACCAAAATTTGCAAAAATTTAAATGCAATTTCATTCACTATCTACTGTCCTGATTACTCTTTATACTCATTATTAATGTCTCTGATCCTAATTCTTCTACACCCACCCTGTAACCCCTTGTGTCTTAGTGGCTTTACTGCCTTGCATGGAGTGATAGTGATTATAAAAAAAAGAAAAAGAAAAAAAAAGCAAAGTCAGCTGATGAAATCTTTGGTTGGAACCCATTGCAGTACCACAGGAGTCATGTAGACAAACATAAGAATAATTTTTGAATAAGAACCTTAAGAACTACAACTATTCAGGGCTTTTTAGCCAGTATATGTGCACATTCCTATCGCTTCCAGTACCAGGTTTACTGTTAAATATGGAAATTTGTTCCAAATGTGGAAACTTGGAGAAGATATCATTTGGCAAGAAATATCACTTAGGCAGTTATATTTTGTGCGTAAATGAAACTTTTCAACATAGACAATATCAAAAAAAAAATACAGAAATGAAGAACATGGGTTCAAGTGGAAGAATTTATTTTCTATTCATACAGATTAAATATTAAAAAAAAAAAAAAAAAGAAATGGAAATAGGTAAAGCGTGAATAGTTCTCTCAAATTTTGATAGGGATTCATTGCTTGTTTTAGGGGCTGACAAGATATTTTTTAAATTATATCTAAAGGTTGTATAAATCAGTCTCTGTGTGTAGCTTGATCAACTATAAAGGTGTTTGGGTCTTAGAATTTTTTCAGAAATATCTTCTGAGAAATAGAAGAAAGATTTTTTGGTAATGTTTAACGTTCATACCTGCAAAAAAAAAAAAAATAATATCTTAAAAGGATGGTCATTCCCTTGACACCACTATTACTGCATACACTTTTTACTTGCTTGACAATGTTTATTTACAAGATTATAAAGATATGTGACTCGAACACAATATGATATTCATTATTTACCTTTTATAAAAATTTATTATTTAACATTTTCTAAAGAAATAAATTTAAAAAATCATTTTATTACAAAATTTATAAAAAATGACAGAGTTATCAAAATAGTAAACCAACTACAATGCAATATCTATTATTTACCATTTTATAAATAACTTTCAAGATAAATTTATTCATAATTTATTAAAAATATAAATGAACCTTTGTTAATTATCAAGAACAAAAAATGTATAAATCCACATTCATATGTTTGGGTTTTATTAAAATTCTAATAATTGCTTTTTAAAACAATAAATATTGATGAAGGAGTCAAAAGTATATATATCAATAGCAGTGTCAAAGGAATAACTGTCCTTTTGACAATTTTTTGGCTTTTGTTAAAACAGCACTTCTTCTGAATACCTCTGAAGGAGTTGTCAAAAATGTTGACCAGTGGAGAGAAGGTGATGAAAATTGTGATCCTCTTCATGTTTTTTTTTGTGAGGAGACACCCTTAAAAAAACATTAGTTGTAGTATTGGCAACCTGTTGATTAACAAAGCTATTTTTTAAGATAATTGACCTCTTGTGCAATCAAGATGAGTTTTATAAAATTTAAATTTAGAAGACTGGTTTTGATCCACTGTCAGCAAAGATTTTGCCTAAAAGGAAACTGTGAATATAAAAGATTTTAGTCATTAGTTTTTAGTGCAAATATTTGGCACTCATTTTTTACCAGTTAATAGTGATCCACTTTTAGCAGAATATTAAACAAGGAAAACTTTTAAATGTTCTATTTAATAAAAATCTTTCTTATAAAATTTTAATTTTAATTTTTGAAATACATTTTTTTCTTAATAAATTTTTATATAAACTCTTTCCCTAATTAACTCCAACTGAAAAAATTGGGCATGTATTTATATTGTTTTATGCATTGACTTCTGACAACTCAGTGTTTTAAATAAATTGATCAATTGAAGAGTGCACGTGTTGAAAAAGTTCTGGTTTTTGCATCTAACTTTTTAGCATGCTACACTCATGGTTTTTGTGTGTCATCATCAGTTAATTAATTTTATTGTGTAAACATAACATACAACTAACGTATCTAATAACACTGGGTTGATGACATATTTTATATTGTATATTTTATTTTTGAAAGATTCACAGTTCTGACATGGCTAAAAAAATGGTGCAGAAATCAGTGATTTTTAGTGAGTAAAAATATCTTTTCATTCAATTTAAATTAGTTTTGAAATACAGCAAAGTATTTTGCTTATTGAAAATATTAAATTCAAAATATTAGCTTTAAATTAAAACTAAATAAAAGCTTCAAGAAAAATGTTTTAAAATTAATTTTTAAACCTTAGCTTTACTGCGTTTCTTTTTTGGAGGTACCTAATTCTTTTTCACTAAAAAAGCACATAACCGATTTGTTGACCCAAACTAACTTTCTCTACAAACTACATTCTCGAGAAATCTCACTAGTAACAGTTTGAGATTAATATGCTAATAATTGCTCTGTTGCACAGTTCCACCCGACACACACACACATATATATACATGTCTTTGTAAATGTAAATAAAAGTTTTAATTTCTTCCATTTAATTTTAACGTCCAGGCTCGATTAGTCGATCTAAAATATTTTCTGTCGTCGTCCGCATGGTTGGCCCAGGCAAATATAATCGATAGTACAACCGCCAAAACGAGGCCATTAGCAGTAGCAGTTACACGAAAAGGGAGGAAAGAGAAATAGTAAACCCGACTTTACTTTCATTTTCAAGGCGAGGCGAGTCCAAACAAACAAGCAGATCAAACAACTAAACATCCAAGCGATATTTGTTTTAAGGAAAATATCAAACTTTTAAAATGCCCAGGTTGAAATCATTATTCGTCTCTCGAACGGGTTTTGTCCTTTTCCAATGTATTTTCATCATTCTGGAAATGTTTGTTTTTTATCCCTGCATGGTAGGTGACCTGACTAAAGAAGAATTGACTATAATGAAACAGTCTGTCCTAAAAAATAGGGCTGTCGATGACCTCAGTGATCCTGGTATTCGACAAGATGATTTGGATCAAACCAACATAAAAAATAAACTCTTACATCGAATGCAATACAAACATTCCGTACAGAAGGCCGAATCGGCCCAGGAAGCCAACAATCCCACGAAAACCTATGAACCAGACTGGGACTCTCTGGACAGCAGACCCATACCGGAATGGTACGATGATGCCAAGGTGGGCATCTTTATACACTGGGGGGTTTTCTCAGTGCCTAGTTTCGTCGAGGTTGGCCAGGGCGGACTTGCCGAGTGGTTCTGGTTCTACCTGGCTGAAGATGGACATGAGTCAACCCACAGTATTGCCAATTTCAGAAGTGTCCGACGGTACATGGCATCAACTTATTCTGTTGATTTTAGGTACCAGGACTTCGCGCCAATGTTTAAGGCCGAGTTTTTCAATCCGAATGAATGGGCAAGTCTATTTAAAGAATCAGGAGCTAAGTATGTTTTCGTTTATTTATCATTTTTCCTGGTTATTTTACAGTAAATGAATTAAAGAAATAATTAAACTAATTTTCAGATAAGTCAAGAGAAAGATTCTACCATCCAAATAAACTTTAGTTTATGATTTGTTTATTTAATTTTTTTTTTTAAATAATACACTTTTTGAAAAGTAGATGCTAATTATTTGAAATCAAATTGTTAATCAAATGAACTACAACGGACGATGTTCTTTTTTGTTGACTTTGTGAATATTTTTTTAATTACAAATTAATAAAAAAAATCTATCCAGGTGATAAAAAGACAGCATATTTTTATTTTTTTAAAAATAAAAAATTACACTATTTTAGTGTTACAATACATTTTGTACAGTACACGCTATCAAAAAACACTCGGAATAATACACTAAATAACTGACAGTCATTTGCTAATAAATTTTAATCTAGATGCAGTTTTAGTGAAGTAGTGTATTATTTTCTTACAAAGATACACTTGACTTGCAATCACGACATTCATTATTTTCTGTACTTTTCTTTAATTACGATCAAAGTCCTGTGACAACCAGAGAAGACGTGAATGCTATTGGTTTTAATTTTTTGTTAATTTATAATTTTTTTTTTAATCAAAAATAAAGACTAGAAACGTAGACTACATAAATCAACTGGGTTGTGGATAAGGATTTTTTTTTTTTTTTTTTTAAATAATTTCGTTTTCGGGCCAAATCAGTCCCATATTTTTTTTTTTTTGTTTAAAAGAACTTGTTTCGACTCCGCATACAATTGATTTTTAACTTTCCGTTTATGAAAGCAACTTTTTTTTTTTTTTTTTTACAATTTCCGAATATTTCATTTTAAAAATTGTTGTGTAATTACCTTAATTAACAAACAACAGTATTGATTCATTAGGAAGCATGAAATTGTAAAATAAATGAAAAAAAAAAGTGGGTGCCATTGTTACAAAAAAAATTTTTTTTTTTTTTCTGTTTTTTTAAGTGTTTTAGGATTTTTTAGGAGGTGGAATTGTTTAGATTTCAATTTCATCTTGACAAACGAAGGAAGACCTTTTAAAACTAAAAAGCAGAATTTCACGAATGGTAACCAATTGGCATTTTTAGGCTTGTTTTATTAGTAACTGGGATACCTGTTGCGTATATTCCCCACTGGGGTTATGACTGGCCCTACTGGGGAATTCGAGACAAGGATTTCGAATATTGATTTTTCAAGGCGGAAGATTGTTTTGCTTTGTAGCAGTGTATATTACTAACAAACTTTTATCGAGAATTGATTGTGGTGTGTACGTTTTGGAAGGTGATGCGGAGTTCTCGTGCTACTAAAAAAAATTAAACGATTGAACTTAATTCATTTAATTTAAATTTTAAACCGACAGAAAAGTAAGATTTAAATGTTTTCTCTACGAATTTCAAAAAGGAGAGTTAAGTTTTGATATCCGGATTCGAACAGTGATGCTGATCTCTCTGTAACAAACACAAATCAAATCAGTATGCTAAGATTAAGAATAAGATCAAAGCAAAGTGTGTGTGTGTGTTTTTTTTTTTTTTTTTTTTTCATTTATTACTTCTGATTTTTTCCCGGTCGAAGTATGTATTAGTTTCATAGACTAGTTGACATTTTGTAACTTTTCAAGGCATTTTTTTGTATGAACTTCTTGTCAGATTTTGTTAAAAAAAACCCAAAAAAACCGACAAACTTAAGTTAATTCTCATAGTCCCCCCCAGAGCAATCATTAACTATTTCTAAAATAAAAAAAAAAACTTATTACAAAACATTTTAGTTAAATAAGCTAGAAAAACAGAGCAATATGCCATCTTAAAAGAAATGACTCACCTGGAAGACTGAAATCGATTCTTTCTGTTTCTCTTTGAAAGAAGATTGTCTTTTCCATTTTTAGAAACTTTATTCATTCATTGTCAATCGATTTGTCTTTTGTTCGGATTTGGTTAGGGTTTTTATTATTAATAGCTTTTTGGTCAGCGATTTAATATTCTTTGCCCGTCTCTTGCAATGTTTGTATTGAATTCATGTACATTAGGTTAGTTTTTTTTTTTTTTTTTCCAATAATTTTTAAAACTAAAAGGTACTGAAAGCTAATTCATGGCATGGCAAAATTTTCGATTCTCTTCAAAAATGATAAATGGGATTGTCAGATAAAACTTGAATTTTAAAGTAAAAACATTCAATCTCATTAATTCTGAATGCTAGTATTTTTTGGGTTTGTAAATTAAAAAAAACGAATGAAATAGAAGTAAAAAAAATGAAACTGTCGAAATGACTGACTCAAACAAACTCAAATATTTATTAATATTTTAACAATATTTTATTGCAATTATTGACTGTTACTACTATCGTTCTCCTTCCTCACGGTAACTGACTTTTTTTTTTTTGAAGTTGAAAAAAAAAACATGAAAAGAAAACCGTATTTTTTGTTCGTAACTTTTTTTTTTTTTTTTTTTTTACTTTAATTATTGTTGGCTTCTTATGCACCTCAAGTAGTCTTATGTTTTTAATAACTGCTTTTTGAGTTTTAACCTCCTTGTAGCTCGAACAATGCATTTTTATATTTGAAGCTGTAAGAAAAAGAAAAAAGTCTCTCACTCACTAAAGGAAAGGGTAACGACAGCCTAATTTGCTCCCAAATTCTTTAAAATAACGATTCGAATTAAAACTTGAAGAATCGATGCACGAGGCGGAACAACTATTTCTTTAAAAAAGTTTCGGATTTTTTATTCAACTTATTGAAGTTTTAACTGTTAAATTCAAACAGCGTATTTTTATTTTTATTTATTTATTTGTTTCAGCCTTTAGTAAAAATTATGTCCATTGTTTTCAATTTAAAAGTTGTTGAAAAATAAAACAAACATGCGTAAGAATTTTTTTTCTATTTAAGTCAAAAATTTTGGTTAAATCTGAAAAAAAAATCTCAACTCTGTCTTTGGAATTAGATTGTATTGTAGGAAAAATATCCCAGAACTCAAAAATTATTGAATGTGTCGCTTAAAACATTAAGGATCGGTATATGCTGACCCCTTTTAGTTTTACAGATTTTAAGTAGATCAGGCCAAGAACTTTTCAGCATCCCTTTGTAATGGAATGTTGAAAGATTCTTGGCCTGACCTACTTCCTATATCAATAATGAAATGTTTGGTTACTTCGTTATTAAAATACCGATTTTTGAGAAGTGGGCTGAGCTGTAGTAAACTTTTCAGTTTAAACTTTGTGACTTGTCAGCATTTTATTATCAGCTTTTAATTTATTACTATATAAAAACTTTAACGTACCATTTATTTTCCTAGTATAAAGTAAAAATTGTGACTTTTTCTTGATTACATGGAATTAAGTGGCATATTAAATGAAAATTTAATCCAAACTTAATGTCTTAATTAATTCAATTCAAATTATTAAAGAAACCCTCAATATATTTTTCTTTTGAGGAATGTTAATATTTTAGAATGGATAATTTTGTTTTGGGCATGTACACAAAAAACTAAAAGTGTACCTCCATCCAAAGAAAGAAAATCACTGAATTTAAAATACATTGATAGCATTAAAAATTAGTGCTTTCAGAAAAAAAAGCTGTTTTAATGATCATCATTGATGATTTGTCAAATTCCTTTCATGCAAAATGTCTACTCCTTAAAATTATTTTGTTTAACTAAAAATACAGAAATGACAAAATAGAATAACTGATAAAAGAAATTTTTCTGATGATGCAATTCAAAAGTACATTTTTTTGCTTGGATCATTGTCTAAATGATTGTTTCTCATGCTATTTTGACCAGGCAAAATTTATTATTCAAATAAATACAACTTCAATTAAAAAAAAACAATTATAACAAACCAATACTGACACACATGGGCAGGTAAAATAAAGAATTTAAGATAAGCTTTGAAATCGATTTTTTATAAATTAATTTCCATTGAACAACAGTGTTATTAGCAGTGTTTATTATAACAAAATGTATATGAAATTGAATTTGTTGCTGGACTTTTGAGAGCTGTAGTTTGATATTTATCAGACTTGAACCAATCTGCTGTGCTTATCAAAAATTCTGTTAAACACCAGATCATATTGGTGTGAAACATTTTAAAAATTTAGTGGTTTGTAATTTAAAAAGGAATCTGATTTGATAATCAGTTTGGAAGAAATTATCATATTCTCTTTCAACATTTTTTTGCATTAATCCTTGAACAATAAAAATAACAATCTGAAGATCATGAATGCACTTCAATACTGGTTTCATTTATTGGAATTCTTTTCTAAGTGTTAAGTCAAAAAAGTATATTAATCTTGTATAAATGATGTCTGATTTAATGCAGAATGAAAGAGCTTTGATAAAAGGCTGTGACTGATTCAACATTGGGCAAATTAATTTTTCTTAATATACAAGTTTCTTTCAAAGTCAATCAAGTATCTTTTTTTTCTCAATAAGTGTGGAATAATTTTAAAATGTTTAAAACATTTATTTAGTTTATTAACATAAATTATTTAAACATAATTTGTTAGATCTATGTGAAAATCTTTGTCACCAAACTGGTGCATATGATTTTCAACACATGATTTGGATATTTCGACAATGTTGTCTATCTTCCGTATTGTGTAATGTTGATTATTCTCAAGCAATATTTAGATTTGATCACTATAAACTGTAACTGGTTTACCCATCCATGGATCTAGTATATAAGGAAAATTACTTGAACAGTGGTTCAAAAAGTGATAATTTTGGTTTCTCTTGATGTGATATGTAGATACTGCTACAGTTTAGAATTTTTCCCAGCATTCATAGTTTCAAACTTTTGCTAGAAAAATAATTTTACCAGATCAACTAGGTCAAATGAGTTTTAATTCATTAAATGAGTTTTAGTTTTTTAATTCATTAAATGAGTTTTAGTTTTGATGTGTGCCACATAGTGGCACACATCCCCAATTAAATCATTTTTCAAAATGTTTGTCATTTTTAATAATTTTTCTAATGCTTATTTGCT